TGAAAACCCAGGAGGGACGAGACCAAACCCGTCGCTTTGCTCTGTGCTCCTCCTCCAGCACGCTGGGCCGCCCTCCGAGCTGCCTCCCTGGGGATGGGAGGAGTCGCACAGGGCACTGGGAGGCATTTAGCCTGCATGGATGTTTTAGTAGGGTCAGTGCAAATGCTTCAGCTGGCCCATGTAGATGCTGCGTGGTTTAGATTGTTTGGGGCTCACTTGGTTTCAGCATCATTCAGCTACTTCAGCTAAGCCATTTTTAAACCGATGTGGCAAAACCAGTGTTATTCCCATGCTGGATTTTGCTGGAGCTTGGCTCTGAGTCCCGGTTCTATTCCATTCCCATCTCCGAATCTGGGATGGGATCTCTCCATGCCATGACTCAAACTTCTCATGTCCTTTTCCCCTTCTGAATCCAGCTGTCAGGATGTGCTCGTGTCTCCCCCTCGCACACAGGAATGCAGAGCCGGCAATGGCAGCCCATCCTCCAAGCAAAACCTTCTCCGAAGCCGCTGCCTCCTGTTTGCTTGCAGAGTCTAAGGTTTTGCTGAGAGAGAAGCTGCCGGGGTCCCTGCACACAGCACGGCAACAGTGTGGCATTGCCAGAGGCTGCCACAGGCACAGGGCAGCCCACTCCAGACCAAGACCCCCCCCGGGATGTGGCAGGTCCCCGCAGCCGAGCAGGGCTCCCCTGGCCAGCTGGCTTGGCTGCCGCAGGCTCTTTGGACTAGCTGAAGGAGCCTGCATTCCTGCCTCCCAGTTATTTGCTCTTTAGGACGCTGCGTAAAATTAACAAGTTGTAAAAGTTGATTGAAGGCGGCGGTGGGTGTGACAGCGATTTGCTTAGCTGCGGGAGAGCCGTGTGTGGAGCAGCAGGGCCACGAGGCCAGGGTGGGGGACAGAGGGGCTGCCCCCCCCGGCTCCAGGCGCGCCTCTGACCCAAAGCGAGACCATGGCTGGTTTCTGGTGGTGTCACCCCAGCAGCACCAGGTGCATGTGTCCCCCGGGCCCAGTGCTCACAGCTCTCAGACCCCCTCCCCTGCCCTTAAATCTTTTGGAGGACACGTGCTGGTGTTGGGGCTGCGCCTCCTTCGGACCAGGTGCCGGCCACCCTGCATCCATCTGTCCCCTCTGTCCCTCTTCTTGCTAAAGAGCAGCACACAACTTCCTTGGGGAAGTTTTTCCCTTCATCCTCTTTTATCTGCAGGAGAAAATACAGCCAAGACCGTAGAGGGGATCAGCTTTGTTAGATCTGGGGACCTCTCATTACATCTGGGGACCCTGCTCGCCACTGGCAGGTGACACACGCAGGGTCCGGGTGACACTGGCACTGCAAAATGGCTTTGAAAGTACAACAGCTGGTGCGGTTAATGCGCAGCCCAGTGGGTCTCTACAGGCAGTTAGTGTGTGTTAATGTGTGTCCTGCTGTGTCTTACTCAATGATTAGTATGTTAATGTATGACCCATGAATTAGCAGTCGGAGTGCTAATGAGCCTCGTCAGCGTGCCCTAGCAGCCGCCAGCCCGCTGGTGGGTGGCTGGTGCTGGGAGCTGGTGGTTAGCCTGTCTGATGCAGCAGGAGATTAGAAACCTCTCGTCTCCTGGCTTGATGGAATCAGTCTGGTGATCCGGGCTGCTGCAGCCGAAGCCACCTCCGCCCCACGCCTGGTCCTCAGCCACGTGTCCCCGAGAGGCACCGCGGTGGCGAGGGGCTCAGCGATGCCTCGGTCGCTCACACCTCTAGGGAACTGAGCCTGGGTCACGGACAGGGGCACCAGACCACTTCAGCAATTCTCAGTTTCAGTTTTCCTTTGAGAGCGGCTGTGTGCGTGTCAGGCCTATTTTAATACCCAGCGATGACTTGAAGTCAGGCTTTCAGTTCCTGCTGTCTCACTGCACGGCCGGAGGGGGAAGGGCATGCGCGGGATGGTTGTATTCCCCACCAGGGACGGGGAATGTCTGCTGCCACATCACCAGATACATCGACACGGTGTCATTTTGTGCTTGACCATTCATTCAGGAAGGGTGGACACAGCTCCTGGAGTTCTCACCATGTTCCACTCTGGCAGTGAGGAATCTCCACGTGAGCCAGCGAGTGCTTTTGTGACCCATCCCCGCTGCCCCGGGCATCCTGGCGCTGCCATGGGCACTCACGTTTCCACTCCGAAACAGGAAGTTTCTGACAAAAGCAGATTGCTCTGCGCCATGCAAGGTCCTGCTCTGCCGTTTGGGAGAGACCTGGGTGCCAGTCACAGGTCACTTCTTTCCCAGCATCGCTGAGGCTGAGTGTCCCGCGGCGGGGTCAGCCTGGCTGCCGGCAGCCCGGGGCTCTGCCGCGTCCTCCTCGAGCGGGGCTGCACGTGACGGGAATGTGCAGAGCATTTGCTCCTTCCCTGTTTTTCATTCATGTGGGCTGGAAAAATGTGTTCATGAGACGAGTTGCTGTGGCATTATGTCATGGACCTTCAGTTGGGCTCTTTTCTCCCCAGCAGATGAGCTGAATTTCAGCATCAGGCTGTGCTGGCTTGGCAGGAAATCTGGTGTTTCCTACTTGTTTCTTCTTCAGGGGAGGAAGGAGCGAACCCACCTGCCCTTGTCCCCAGCCCTAGCCATGAGCGAAGGGAGTTTTTCTGCAATATGCCTGATCATTCCCAGTCCAGGAGGCTCTGACAGGGAGATTTAAGCCTTTGCTGTGCAGAGATGGCTGCGCTGCAGCTGTGTCAGCGCCCAGCCCTTCATGCAATACATGAAAACCTCATGGATCCTAAACTAGATGCGATGGCTTTTATTTCTAGAGGCGTCTTGAGAAATCTCTCGGGAATGGTGTCAGGATGGGATGCCCATCTCTTCCCTGCCTAGCCAAGCAGTTCCCGTGTCGGCTGCATCCTGGCATCCCACAGCCCCTGGCTGCTGGCAGCTGTGCCGGCAGTGGCAGGCGCTTCACTCACCCAGCAGCCTGGGCACGAGAGAACTGCAGATACCAAGACTGGAAAATCCCCAGGCTGAAGTCACCCTGTATGAGTCAGGCCGGGTCTCCACAGCGTTAGCCTGTTGAGCTAGTGATGAAGCAGGCACTGAGGTTTCCACCACTTCCCCCGGGGCTGCTGCAGCCCGGAGCTCTCGGGAGGGATGTTTCCCATGACAGCCATTCCCACTTTGCTCTTGTTCTCTTTCCTTCTGACTTTCCCCTGCACAGAATCATTCCTAAAGGAGAGCCAGGAGGATGGAAATGTTCCTGTGGTGACACTTGCTGGGATTGCTCCTGGCTGGATGTCCCAAGCAGCAAAGGGCTGTCCCAGGGAGGAGGATCCCCAGCAGCCTGACCTGCTCCCAGGGCTGCTGAGCCTGCCTCACCTCGTCCTTTGCTCACCTCTGTCCCGTAGGACGTTTTTTAGAAGCAGAATCAGTAGTTATGAGTCCCTTGCTCCCTCAAATACTACATTCTTGCAATCATCCTGCTCGCACCACCTCTCAGCAACTGCCTCTCGCAGGGAGGAAGGGACTTCGCCTCCCCCTCTGCCCGTCGGTGCAGGTATAGGGGGATGCAGGGTGCCAGGGACGGGGGGGCAGCTTCGAACAGAGGCAGCCCTGGCTGCTGGGGCATGAGGGCGCCTCGCTCAGGCAGTAGCCAGGGTGGAAGGTTGGAGGTCAGAGGAGGGTCAGGTTTTTAACACGCACTACAGCGACACGGTGGTTAAAATTAGCCCGCAGAGAGGAAACTGGCAGCTTTGTGGAAGAGCAGAAGTTTCCTCTCTCGGCAGCCTGGTGCAGCAGGGCCGTAGGCCGCTGCCAGCCCTCCGCTCGCCATGGCACGGTCCTGTCCAAGGCACGTCCACAGGCCAACGGCACGAAGATGACAAGCTGGTCTCTGCCAAGCCAGGGCCGGGGCGTGCGGTGTCGGTATCGCGGGGGGCAAGCAGGCAGCGTCCCAGGCTGTGAGGCGCCTGGTTGGGTCACCTGTATGGGGTCTGGCCCTCTCCACAGCGTCAGGATCCCGGCCCTGGGAGCCTGCAGGGACCCTTTAGGATGGGGGTCTCTGCGGCTGCTTTGCTCTGTCTGAGCAGAGCAAAACCAGGTTGGTTGGGGGGGGGCAGGAGGAACTCAGGCATCAACGAGGACTTTGTCTCCATAGCATGTAGCACTTCCAGCCCCCATTTGCTGACTTTCTCCCTATAAATCTGCTGCTCCCTGGGAGTGACACCGGTCAGCAGGAAGCACCGGGGGAGAGCTCTGCAGGTGCAGAGCCCCGCTGCGAGGGGACACAGGCTGAGCCGAGGCCGGCTGTGGCGGAGACGCCAGCAGAGGCTGTGCCGTGCAGGACGGGGCCGCAGAGGCACCGGGCTCCCGTGCTCTGGAAACTCCATTTGAGAGCCTCATAAATTGGATAATTACCCAAGCTATTGAGTTTCCTTCTGTCCAGATCCGTCCCAGCCTCCCTGATGGGGCTCCCCAGTTGGTCCATGCGATGGGCCCGTGGGACGGGGTCGAGCTGGAGACAAGGAGGGGCTCAGCTTTTCTCAAATGCCCCCACCCGCCTGCTCTCACACCTGCATTGCTCCCCAGCTTGGGGGGGCGGAATCTGGCAACGGGAGCTGAAACAAAACAGTAAGGATGGGCCACATCATTCATCTCGCATGGTTCAGCAGGACTTTCCCCCATTTGGTGAGGCTGGGCATAGGGCTGGCTGCCCCCCCAGCAGCCCCACTGCCCTGGGGTGCACGTAACGGGACGGGACAGGACACAGATCAGTGCTGGGTGTCCTGACTTCGCTTGCCTCCTTTTCCCTGGGGACAGTGGGCTATGAGGCATGGCCAACCTCTTCCATCCCTGTTTAGAAGAAGAGGGGCACCTCTCACATCCCCACGGTGCTGTGCAGAGCTGCCTGCATCCCACTGGGCCTTCTAGCCCCAAACATTTCCCCCTGGCCGTTGCCCATCCGCCTTCCCTTTGCACTGACTTTGTTTTCCTTTCCCTCTCCCCAACCCCCTCGTCCTCACCCTGTAGGTTATTGCAGCCAACTGCAAGAGGGTCACAGTTCTGAAGTATTTCCTGGAAGCCCTTTGTGGACAAGAAGAGCCTTTGCTGGCATTCAAGGGTGGAAAATATGTGTCAGTGGCACCCGTCCCAGACGCCATGGGAAAGGAAATGGGAAGCCAAGAGGGAAAACAACTGGAAGATCAGGTACCGTGCGGGAAGAGCGCGCCTCGGTGAAGGAAGAATCACCCCTGTGGGGCCCAGCCTCTGCCTGCCCTGCAGCTCCCGCTATTTATAGCCAGCATAGCTGCGTGTGCATTTTATGGGGGGAGGCGGGGGGGGCAAATGGTGCACAGCCCTTGTCTCCCGAGTGTACTTTGCTCATGCCCTTTCCTGCCAGTCCAACCCGCGTGCCTCTATCTCGCCCGCTGCTATGAGTTCCAGATGCTGCTTTTTCATACCCAAAGCCGGGGGGGAGCTTTAATAACGTGCAGCACCGCGGCTCCGGGAGAGGAGGTGGGCGAGGGGGTGTCAGGGTTCAGCTTCAGGATCAAGTTTATAGCCGTGGAGCTCGTTGCGGCGGAGGCCTGAGCTCCAGCCTCCAGCACACGTACAGGAAGAGCTGACATTGGCGCCCCGTCCCTCCCCTGCCTCTCACATCCTGATGTGATTAAGGAATTCAACTCTTGTTTTTCTGCCCTTGCTTGTTCCTGTAGGCCTTGCTTCACTCCAGGCTCCGTGTGTGTGTTTAAGGGCCCTGCCAGCCGCTCTGCAGGTTGACTCTTTTCTTCTGTTTAATCTTGCAGTCGGAAAGGCCAGGGAAACAGGAGAGAGGGGCAGGGGCGTTGGGAGCAGGGAGCTGGGTGGCCCAGCACTGCCCAGACTCGCTCCAGGTCCCCTCCCTGTGCCGGGGCCAGGCGCGGAAGAGACAGGGGGGTGTCGCCCCGTGCAGGGGACAGCACCTTGCCTCTGCCAGCAGTGGGTGGCCCGTGGCCCCACGTGTCCCAGGGAGGTGACAGCCAGTGGCACCCAGAGCAAGGATGTGCTCAGGACCCTCTTTGTCCCAGCAGCTGCCTCCGGCTGAGCAGGGGACAGATTTTAGGTGGGTTTTTTTGCACTAGGGCTCAGAGCAAAACCCCAGACAGCAAGTGATGTCTCTGTAAGGTGGGAGACTTGGATCCTTGTCCTTTTCTGGGGAAGGTTCAGGAGGTTTTCAAGTTGATACCACCAAAACCATGTGATATGGGAGGATCTTCAGGTTTTATCCAGTGTCATGACAGGGACAGTCCTGTTCTCCAAAACCCTCCTTTTGGGTCAGTCCTTCCAATTTCTGCTATGAAGTAACACAGTATGGAGGATAGCTCCCTCCTGCTCCGTCCACACAGTCTTTGCTCAGCTGTGGGAACCTCTGTGAGCTCATTGCACAACCCTGTAGCTTCCTCCTTGGGCTCTGATCGCAAGAGAGCTTCCAGCTCGTCAGCGTGACCACCATCACTTGTCTGGGCAAGCAGATCCCGACCCACCACAGCAGGTCTGCATCTGACACAGGCTTTTTCCCAAGGCCCTAGTGTGATGCTGTCCCTCTGGCAGCATCCCCCCATTCCTGTGGTCCAGGCTGTCCTGGAAGAGGGAAGTGAGCCTGAGGGCTCCATCTTCCTCCTTCCCATGGCTAAAATGTCACAAGGAGAGGAGAGTACATGGTTCTGTGGCCAGGCGGGTGGGCGGTTTGGGTGAAATGATTGAGTATGCAACTGTGCAGTGCTGGGGTTGTTCTAAATTAAGACTGCAAGCTCCTGCCCGAGTCCCTCCTGCTGACACGTGCCACGGCAGCCTGCACAAGGGCAGGGAGTGTAGCGATGCTTTTATCCATCCTCTTGTGCAGGATCCATCCCCTGCAGCCCCCTGGGGGCTCAGAGCAGGTCTTTCTGCCCAGGTGCCACTTGGGATCTCTTCCCAGCCCCATCAGAACCCTTGGCTTTTGTGCAGAGGTGGGGAGATCGGTAATGGCAGGGCTTGGGAAGGCCCGTGGTTGCTGCGCTGGGTGCAAGGGGGTCTGGGCAAGGTAAGAAGGCTGGGCAGCGGCAGTGGCAGAGGTGCAGCAGCACGTGTGTGCAGGCATGTTGAGGAACAGGGACTCATGGTCTCCCCTTTGGGCAGGGAGCCACTGGGGATGGCAGCGAAGCTGGGGACAGAACTGGGTTGTGGCTGATCCCCAGTTGGACATCAGCCACCACCTCTCACCCTCTGGGGTCACAGAGATTTGGGTGCATAGGGAAAGGCCAGTTCAGCCTTCACCTGGGAGAGGAACAGCATGGCTCATTCTGGGGTCTCCAGTTCAGGTAGAGGAGGCATACTGGGAAGGGTCTGCAGACCTCCTGGTGGGGAGAGCCAGGGAAGGGTCTCCAGGAGAGGGTGAAGATGCAACATGGTCCAGAAGTGCCTGTGCAGGCAGGAGGTTGGAGGACCAGGCAACTGAACTTGAGTTCAGCAAAGACAAGGTTCCTGGCCAGGAGGAGCATGGCAAAGATGTAGGATGCAAATGTTACAGAGGAAATAATTAACCATTGAAATTACTGACCTTGAGTGGTTTCTCCATCATGTGGAGCTTTAAAATCAAGATTGAATGGTCTCCTCCTAAAACATCTGTTCCAGCCCAGCTGGAAGTTTTGGGGTGGGTGCAGGAATCTCTCTGGCCTATTCAGAGATCAAAAAGGAGAAGGGGAACAGACTCTTTGGTCTCCTGGCTTCATGGATCCAAGTTTCCTCTCAAGATGATCAGCGTGTGTGCCGATCCTCGGATGAGGCAGCAGTGTTAGAGCAGCGTTGTGCAGCCCCAGTGCAGGCAGGTGGGGAGAAGCAGCATTTGCTCTGAGGGATGTGCAGCCTTAACAGCTGGGCAAAGCAGAGAGACAGGGAAATAACATGGTGTTACAGAACTGAAGCTTATAAAACACCAGTGACTCACCCAAGGCTGTGGGAAGAGTTTTCCAAGGTGAGGAAGAGGGTTTGATTTTAGAACAGAGCTTTAAGCAGGGCTGCCCCTGCCCTGCCTGGTCACTGCCTTCCCTGCCCCATTATCTCTTGTCTCACCTTGTCACTTCCTGGGTGTTTGCTATTTATTTTGCTTGCTTGCTTCTTTTGGATGTTTAGAAATAGTCATCCATCAGCAAGCAGTGATGGACTATGCCTGTCAGGGATTTTTCTGCTGGAAGGGGGAGAGCAGAACAATCACAGTCCTTGCCACCAGCATCCCTTACAATGACTCCTCTCCTTGTTTTTTGTCTTTCTGCATTTCCTGGAAGAAGGAAGATGATGTGATGATTGAGGCATTTGAAGATGATTCCGAGGCTGAAGGCAGCGGAGGAGAGATGGACATCAAGGAGCTCAGAGCCAAGAAGCAAGCCCTAGCCAGGAAAGTAGCTGAGCAGCAGCGTCGTGAAGACAAGATTCAGGTAGGACAGGCTGTGCAACTGCAGTGCCCGAGCTGGCTGAGGAGCTGCTTTGCTTTGGTCCATGGGCTGATCCTGCCTCACTGTGCCGATGGTGCGCAGCCCTTTCCCTGCCCCACTGAGGGCCAGTGGCCTCTCGGGATGTCTCACAGCACCTGGAGCTTCCCAGATGTAGGTACCCTGTGCCGCCTCTCTGAAACACAACAGCAAGCTTAGCCTTCACCCTTTGGAAGCAAAATCAGTGTTGCTGTCCCCGCCCAGGGTAAGATCTGCCCTGCCAGGCCCTGAGATGAATGTTCTGGAGACTCCTGGGACCCTCATGAAGCCAGACACAGCTTCTCCACAGAGCTGCCAGCACACCCAAGAGCCCTGGCAGGGGAATGCTTTAGCTGATGGCTGTAGTGCAGCGTGTGCCAGGCAGCAAGCTGTCCCCCCACCCAGGGCAGATGCTCTGTGGCAGCAAGGTTCAGCGAGAAATCAGCTTTCCTGTGCAGTGGGGCACAGGCAGACAGAGGAGAGGGTGGGACGTGAACGGCAGAGTTCACGCGGGAGCCAGCAGCAGGAAAAATAGTCTGTGAACGGCTGCTGCAGCCAGAGCGCCGCGTTGCCATCGTGATGGGGACAAACAGATGGGAGACAGGTGATCTTGTCGTGGCCCTGGCCTGATTTGAGCATATTTCCCAGTGGGAGCTGATGAAGTAAACTGGTTGGACTGGGAGCAGATGCCTGGCGGTGCACACTGTTGCTTTAAGAGCAATCTCACATGCATGGCTGTTGGCTGCCTCGTCGCTCACAACCCCTCTTCCTCCAGCCTCGCAGCCCAGATGAGGATTTCTCAGCAGAGGAAAAATTCTCCCTGGCTCCCCTCCCCCTCACCTCCGCCCTCTCTAATGCCCAGGGCCCTTCACTTCCATAATTCTTCATTTTCCAGCCTTGAACGTAAGCCAGACACATCTGTCTGGCCATATGCGTGAACTCTGCAGTGTGTGCCGAGGTGGTTGTAAAACAGGGCTGCTGAAGGCCCTACTGGGAGAGCGTGCACATGTGTACCCTCCGGCTACTGGCGCCGGGCCCAGAACCACTGCGCTTCGCTTTTCCAAACCCACCCCAACCTTTCAGATTTTTGCCTTTTTTCTTTTTCATTTGAATTTTGAGCAATTCATATCAAGGCGAAGGTAGAAGTTGCGCCGGGAGGGAGGGGCCGCCCCCGCAAGCAAGTCCATTATTGTTGGCAGGTACCTGGGTCACATTAATACAAGGAGGAAGAAAGCAGCAGCGAACGAGTGAGAGATTGGAGAGATGGGCTGTAAATTAAAGCGGCCTGAAGCCTTCCAGCCTCCCAGGGTTGTTAAGCGGGAGGTGTAAGTAAATTCCCCACTTCCCACTGCCTTGTACAGACACAGCAAACAGGAACTGCACATGTTCGGGGAGGGCAGCGTGCAGCAGATCCCGGCCCCGGCGACTAGCCCAGCTGCAGCAGGGCCCCCGGGATGGCCGCTGCCCATTCTGCGGGGAGAGTGGGGGCTGCCTGATGTTGTCAGGGGCTTTCTCCCCCCGGCATGCTCCTCCCTTCCTCCGCAGCCGTGCTGGGGCCGATGCTCGCAGGCGGAGAGAGGTCAAAACGAGGGTGTGGGCAGCTTCAGGGGCTGCACAGCTGAGAGCTGAGGTGCAGTTGGAGTCTGAAGGAGCGGGGTGGAGGAGAAGTCCTTGGGGCTTTGGTAAAGTCATCCAGCCCGTAGCTAAGCTGGGAACAGCCTGGAGCAGAACATGTGTGCTTGCCCTGGTACTGACCACGCAGCCAGGGCTGGAGGAGCTCGGGTGGAAGGCGCTGCCTGGGGAGGCCAGGTCAGAGCCAGCTCAGCATCCACCCCCTCCACTTTCCCTGTCTTGGCCTGTGGTCCTTGACCTTCCTGATCTTCACAAGAGATTTTGTATTTCCTGGGACCTGGGGACCTTCTGCCTTCCCTGTTACAGCCCATTTCTCTTACTGCTCACCTACAGAGTTCACGCATTGGCGCTCTGAGTCCCACTTTCGCTGTCCTGGGGACAAGCCACAGCTCCACATATTCATCCGAGTGTGGCAGATGCGGCTCCTGTCTCAGCACAGCCGAGAGCCTCCACTCTCCACGCGTGGCCATGTGGCTGTGCCTGTGCTGTGGGGGGGTCTTGGGGCCCAGAGAGCCCAGGTGCCACCAGTGCCTCCCGTATAGTCTGGTGGTGCAGGCAGTGAGCCAGGGCAAAGCCTTCGTGTCTTGGCCATCCATTTTCTTTCTGTGCCTGGGGGGAGTGCAGTGTCTTAGCCTCGCCTGGGCCATGCTGAGTTGTGCTTGCAGCTAAATTCACTCCCATCTCCCCAGCAGGCTTTCTTGCACTATCTCCCTGTCTTTGCTGTGCTCCCCACCTCTTGTAACTTGACTCTGCTGCTGATGGCGGTCATTCACCTGTCCTAAGTTCACTGCTGCTGCTGCTTACCTGCCCTGCATCAGCTGGCGGTGCAGCCCTGCAGGTCTTTGTTGTAGCTCCCAACCACAGTCAGTGCTGGGGTCGCATTTACACCTCGAGGGGGATTTGGGTTTCTCAGTGTTCCTTTGGTCCCTGCCCTGGCTGGATGTGTGCAGGACGGTGGCTTGAGCTACCAGGGCAGTATGGGCCCACGCGGGGTAGATGGCAAATGCGGGTGGCGCTTGGCTAGCACCAGAGTGAACAGGAGAGCTCAGCTCTTCATGAGCTGGGAGCCCAAAACCATCACTCTGAGGCGGGGCAGATAGGCCAGAGCAGGGTTGGGTCATAACCTCTTGTGTCCCTGGGCAGCCCTGGTTGGGAGGAGGCAGCTCTGGTTGGGAGGAGGCACCTCTAGTTGGGAGGAGGCAGCTCTGGTTGGGAGGAGGCAGCCGTGGTTGGGAGGAGGCAGCTGTTTGCTGCCTGGCCCTGAGTTATGGGTTGGCTCCTGCTCCCTGGCTCTGCTGCCACCCTGCCTCTGCCCTCACCGCTTGCCCAGGCTGGGACAGAGCCGCCTGCCAGCCCCATGCCACAGGCTGGCGACAGCAGCAACGCGTCGGTGTGGGGTGAGAGACCAGGCCCGTACCTTGGTGCTACCCAGATATTTGGGGGGACGAGAGGCCAGGCAGGCAGGTAGGCAAGAGGAGGTGACAGTGGCGCTGCCAGCACAGGCAGTGCTCTCCGGCAGGGCTGTGTCCCCAGCCAGCACCGGGTCCCGCCGCACGCTCCCACCGCCCCCGCTGCTTGGCCAGGCCCTTGGTCCATGCTGTTCAGCGTCCCCTGTCCTTTGTGCCGCCGCTGTGCACTGGGAGCGGTCGAGTTTCCTGACCGGTTGAAAACATCCCACCTGAAACATAACAGGCTCTTCCTCTGGATGCTGCTATTGTTTTGCTCAGCATTACAGAAGCAGCTTAACCGGGGCGGCCAATTATGACATGTCTTCCCAAAATAGCCGCTCTCCTGTCCCTTCTGAGCCCACGGAACGGCCGCCCCCTTAAGATGCAGCCGCTCCTTTGTGGCGGTAGTGTGAGTAAGTGGCTAAATATAGCCGTATCCCATTCACGCTCTCCTCGGCGCGCAGGAACAATGCCGCGGGTGCACACGCGCCGACACGCACCTGCCTGGGAGCGGGTGCCTGCCGGCTGCGGAAAACGCACACCCACCCACGGCGGCTCCGCCACGGCGGCGGCCCCGCTTTGCTACCAGGCACGGGGCACGTTTACTTCTGAGGAAGACGCTGGAGACGAACCTTGGGAGGAGGAAGCCCTCGAGCAGAGACTAGAAAGGCATTGTTCTCGGCTCTGGAAAATCCGCCTCCGATCCCCGCGGAGCACACGGGGCTGGAAGGGGCAGCGGCGCTGGGTTTCCCCGTGGTTGGAGAGGAGGTCGGGGCAGGAGAAGTGGTGGCAGGATGGTGACAGCCCATCCGTCCTGGCAGAGCGGTGTGACCCCGTATGACCCATCCCGACGGCAGCGCGGCACTCGGCTCTGCCACGCTTTGGCTCCAGACCTCTCTGCCAGCCCGGCACCACGGGCAGCGGAGCTCCAGCGTGTGTGTGTGGAATCCCAGGAGTCGATGTGGAGCCCCCTCCTTTTCTGTGCTTGAGGTGGAGACCCTCAGGTCTCCCCCCGGCACTCTGCAGAAAGTGCCACCTGGTAGCCTGGCTCGCGGGGGACCGGTCCCCTGCCCACACTGGAAGCCCTCAGCCAGGCACCGGCTTCCGGGGAATCCCCCAGGTGATCCCAGCTGATGGACGAGCTGGGAATTTGGGACTGTGTGTGCAGGAGTGTCTGATCTCAGTGCTGCCACCAGCTGGGGCAGCCGGGGGAGCCACCTCCAGCTCCCGCCCAGCTCCTGGGAGAAGCCCCCCTGGCCAGAGCAGCAGGATGGGCAGGGGGCTGGTGGGGGGAGCAGCTCTGATGGCCACAGTGTGCAGGTGCAAGAGGCAGGAGAAGGGGACCTGCCTGTCCTTGGGGGGAGCAGGGACCCTCCCAGCCTCAGAGGTCCCCTGCTGTGCAGTGACTTTAACCCTAATAAGACAAGACTAAATTCTGGCCATCCTAAAGCACTTGGGCCCAGGTGAGGCTGTACCTCCACTCTTTTTACTGCGCCACTCTCCCCAGGGCCTTCAAACCCCACCTCCCGGCAGGGCGCCTGGGCCACCTTCTCCCTGTCCTCACATCGGGGAAACTGAGGCACAGTGGGACCAGCAGCTCATTTCTGGCAGTGGTCGTGGCACGGAATCCAGGCCCCAGACACAGGCATCCCAATCCACATCCCCACGCTCTCCTTCCTCCCCGCGGGACCGTGCCCCACGGACCGGCAGAAGGGTTAACGCGGCGCTCGCCTCCCCGGTTCCCCGCACATGGGCTCCCTTTCATCTCTGGCGCGGGGCCAGCCAGCGTCGGCATGAATCACAGGCCACTCCTCTCCCCCCCGAAACCCCTTGGCCGGAGGCTTCTGCAGCCTTTTACTCACACAAACAAAAATAAATCTCACTGCCGGCCTCTGAACTCTGCAAAGGCGAGTTTCCCTCTGGCTCCCCGAGCGGCCCGGAGCTGTGCGCGGGGACTTGGCACGCTCCCCGCCGACCTCGCTCTTTCACTCCCGGCGCATCCTGTGTCCTTCTCTCACCGGGCGGCCCGGCGAGCGGAATGGGACGTGACGGCCGGCACAGGCGTCGCTCGCGGCTGCCAGGAATCGGCTGGGTACGGCCTGCGAAAGCTGCCGGGGCAAATGCCACACACGAGGGTACTGCCCCACCCCGTCCCCGCCGTCACCCCCGCGCCTCCAGACGGAGGGGTAGGTGAGCTTCCCGCTTGCGCCGCGCTCCTGAGGTTGCCTGCGTGGGCCGGGGTGAGCCCTGCGGTCGGGGAGCTGTATTGGGGTGCAGGCGGGGGTCCCCTCCTGCCACCAGCCCTTGCTCATATGGGACTGTCGTCAGCCATTTGAGGCCGTGTAGTTTTGCCACCCCCCTTCCTGCAAGTTCAGGGTTGTCAACCTCTTTGGCCGCCGCACAAGGGACGTGCTGCTTTGCTCTGGGTCTCTGCGTTGGCCGACGGGGCCCTTCTCCATCTCCCTGTGGCAGGTGGAGCTTGGTGGAGTTCTGCAGAGCCCAGTGCCTCCCAGGGATGAGCATCTCCTCCCACACCCCAAAAACCCAAGGCGAGACCCCATCTGCCGCCCTCCTCACAGTGAGCAGCAGCGCCGTGCAAGATTGCCACGGGGTTCCCGTGCCACTGGGGTGTGCCAGCACCTCCCGGGGTGAAGGCAGAGTGCAGGCAGGGATGGCACCTGGCGTGTGGCCGGCCCTGGCAGCATCTGCACTGCCCAGGGACACTTGGTGCCGTTGTAGCTGCCCCTGAGCGATGCGGGATGGCAGCAGAAGGGACCTGGCATGCTCCCCGCTCTGCCCGTCTCCCCTCAAGGTCGATGGGAGCTGCGGCCCTGGGACTGACGCTGCCAGGAGGCGGGTGGGAAGCACGTGGTGAGATTCTGGTTGCTGCCTTGCCTGGAGACACTTGTGGGAGGTGGCAGCATCAAGTCGCCTTGATTTAAAGCCAGATGACAACACTTGGAAATGGATTAAAAACCACTTCTTTCCATGGCCACTGCTGGCCCGTGCAGCTCGTCGTTCCAGGGTGCCTCCGAGGCTTTGGCTTGGCTGCAGGAGGGTTCAGATCCTCACCCCGGGCAGGGGGAGCTCCCTGTGACATTGGGCAGAACAGGGTCAGCAGTCACCTCCTGTCCCCAGGGCACATCTTGTGGGTGCAAGCCCGCTGTCGCAAGGGTTTGCATGGTGAATGTGTTCCACAACAGTGCTGCTGTGCTCCGTGGGTGACCAGTTCCTATTAGAGGCAACAAACATCAGCAAATCCAGGGAAGCTATTTTTAAGCAGAGGAAGCACTAGAATAGCATCCTGAGTTTTTTAAGCCTGTGACTTACTAAAGAGCCCAAGTCCTTCGATAGCATCAAATGTAATGTGTGAGCTCTTGGGTCCCATTTTGGCATCTGGCATTGTCCAGAGATCCAGGTGCAACCCCGCAGGGTTGCCAACAGACCCTTCCCATGTATGTGTGAGCACCTCTGGTCTCCAGCGGGTGTGAAGGGCTCAGCCAAGGACAGTGCTGTGGGTTTCCAGGGCTGGAACCCACCTGGTTTCCCAGCTGGATGAAGTCAGAAAAGGCAAGGCATGTGCGGGAGCTGGTGAGACAGTGAGTGAGATACTCAGACAAGCATCCTCACCCCACAGACCTCCCTTCCTGTTGCTTCCTTGGGGTCTTTGTGTTAGGATGTCATTGGCAGAACCTGTGTGCCCCAAAGTGGTTTGTTTTGGCTGTTGTCACCTTGAGCTGTTTCCATCTGGAGTCCCAGATCCCACTCCCTTCAGCCCCCTTTTCTCCTCGCTGTTTTGTATTGGGGTTGGTCTCTTGGCACCGGTGCAGATAGTCCTGGCAACTGCCAGCCCCGTAAATGGGACAGTTCCCAAAACACCTCCATTTTCAAGGCTGGTCCTGGTTCTCCCCAGAGCCTGGACAGGGCCGTTCTCCTAGGAGAGGGCTGTCTTAGAGGCTTTTGCCATCCCACTCATGTGTGCACTGTGGATCTGCAAGAGTTGGTGTTTGAGGTGCAGGTGGGATGAACGCAGCCTCCTGCCAGTGCCCTTCACACAACGTCCTTGCTGCAGGAGGTGTGCGTGCCAGCCAGGCTTATCTTCTGCTGTCGAGGTCCACAGGTCATAGGGCTGACATCCTACTTACTCATCATGTGTCCTTCTCTTCCAGGCCGTGCTGAAAGACCAGAGTCAAATGAGGCAGATGGAGCTGGAGATCAGACCTGTCTTCCTGGTCCCAGACACCAATGGTTTCATCGACCACCTCAGCAGCTTGATAACACTGCTGGACTGCAGGAAATTCATCTTGGTGGTGCCCCTGATCGGTGAGTAGGACCAGTGCTACGGCGGGGGCTTCCCCTCTCCCCCAGCACGGGATGGCCCTCCATGCCAGCTCCCTCTCTCTGTGCCCAACAGTGTGGTCTGGAACCAGTTGTGTCTCGTGCCGTGGGGCTGGTCTCCATCCTGCCCTGTCTTGTCCCAGCTGTGGCTGGCGTTCCTTCAGCCCGTGTCACCCCTCTCCCTTCCTGACAGCTTTCTGCCCACAGCAGTCAGTAAACTCCTCTCCTCCTGGTGCATTTGGGGGTGCCAGGGGCTGAGAGAGGCAGGCGGGTGTTAAATAGGATTTGGAGGGAATTTTGGAGGGAGCAAGGAGGAGGAATTGTTAAACAATCAGAGCAGATAGCTTATCCCAGCTGAGCTGGGGCTTAGGCAGCCTGAGCAAATGGCCGGCCTATGTCCCAGCGTCTCAGAGCTGCTCAAGCCCAGCCCTTCTTTTTATCCTTATAAAGCTCGCAGTAAAACAGCAAGCTGGTTCCCGTTATTGGTAAACACTCACCCTGGCAGATAACGGCTGTGCTGCTGGGTGGTCTCCCAGGGTGGCGGGAGGATTTGGTTAGATGCCTTTGCTCTGATTGTTTGATCGTGCTCCGGGCTGGAGGTAACGTTCCTCCGGCCAGTGTCACCGCGGCGCCCGACGCGTCCCGGTGCCAGCCTGGCATTCAGAGGATCCCCGAAGGCATCAGGAGAGGCCGGGGCAGGAGGGAGGCCGAGCCTCCCAGAGCCCACAGGCTGCCCCATCTCCAGCCCTGGGAGGCTGGCGGTCAGCCCTGCCCCGTGGGCATCTCCAGTGGCCCCCTGGCAGTGAGGTGTACGCTCCCGCCGATCTCCTGACCTGCCCTCCCCACCATCACGGGGCTTCCCCCTCACCTCCCAGTGCCCAGCAGACAGCTCTGCCTGCCCCAGAGCCAGCATCCAGCTGCCGCCCTTCCCCGTGGGGTGAACAGCCTGGCTCAGGAGGGATTCCTGGAGCTGGGAATGGGAGGGTGGGT